ACACACACACACACACACACACACACACACACACAAAACTCCTGCGCCTTGTTAGGCAGTGGAAAGACACCATTCAATGTTCCCTCTTTCCCCCTCTCTCTAATCAAGCATGGCCCACACCAACAGATGGCCAGTTGGTCGTCAAAACTACACTTCTGCTACTGCCCAGCACACTCTAAGAAAACAAGTGTCTCTTCAAACTAGAGAACGTGCTTAAAGGTTATCGAAGAGCTGAAAACGTTTTTTTTTTATTGGGGGCCAGTGGTCAATCAACGGGGGAAAACCGCTATGTGCTGCACCGTATCAGTGATCAACAAAATAAAACAGACATTTTAGTAAAATGCATTTTTTTCTAGACTGCACTTCCTCCATTTTGCCAGCAGTGGGTGCTGTTGTCACACAGTCTAGAGAAATAAAAGTGCAAACAAAAACACTCTGCTGCCTATTTCATGAGGAGAGCACACAGCACGAGCTGCCAAAATCCTAACCTTTGGTGTCCTGCAGGAGAGAGTGTGTAAAGATTCTTACAATCTTTACAGCCTTATGAGTGTTTCATTCCTTAGCCTGCACGCACACACACACACACACAGTTGAGGTGCTTGTACAATGCCCTGATTCCCCCTGTAGTCAGCATTAACACAGCCCTTTAGGCCATAAACCGGCCTGAAACACCGCAGCCAAATAAACACAGGACTGCCATGCTAGGAAGCTAACTCAGGCCTAATCCACCCCAGCAAAATAAACACATTACTGCTGTGCTAACATGCTAACTTAGGCCTAATCCACCCCAGCAAAATAAACACATTACTGCTGTGCTAACATGCTAACTCAGGCCTAATCCACCCCAGCAAAATAAACACATTACTGCTGTGGTAACATGCTAACTTAGGCCTAATCCACCCCAGTCAAACAGACACAGAACTGCCCTGCTAATATGTAAACACATGCCTGGACCACCCCAGCCAAATAAACACAGTACTGCTGTGCTTGCATGCTAACACAGGCCTGATCAATCTTGGTCAAATAAATACAGAACTGCCCTGCTAATATGCTAACACAGGCCTGAACCACCCCAGCCAAATAAACACAGCACTGCTGTGCTAACATGCTAACACAGGCTAATCCACACCAGCCAAATAAACATGGAGCTGAGATGCTAATATGCTAAAACCAAAAAACACAGCACTGCCGTGCTATCACGCTAGCACAGTCCTGACCCACCCAAGCCAAATAAACAAAATACTGTCCTGTTAACACTGGCCTGACCCACAACAGCCAGATAAACGAAGTCTTGCTGTGCTAACAAGCTAATACAGACCTGACCCACCCCAGCGACCCACCCCAGCCAAATAAACACAGCACTGCCATGCTAACAAGCAAATACAGATCCCAGCATCAGCTGCTTCCAATTATGGAGTAAATATGAAGCAGAACTGATCAGAAACAGGGGAAAACCCAGGGAGGAAAAATAACAAGCCTCCCACAGCAGAAATGAGAGCGGCCTGTTCGGAGTTACACACAGATTACCATCGCTCACTCAGCCAGTCAGCTCCAGCAGAGACCTCGTTTCCTTTAATTCCAGTGGAAAATGTGTGTTTGTGTGTGCATGTCAGGATAAAACATTAGCGGGAGACAGCTTATTTTTGCGGGCTAGAGAGTGTATAGCCTTGTGAAAGTGATTTGTGTGACTCTGTTTGTGTATATGGCGGTGTGCTTGCATTTGAGCATTGTGTTGTATGTGTATGCATGTGCGCGCGAGAGCGAATATGCCTTTGTGCGTACATATGCATGTGCAAACCTCGATAAGAGAGTTCAAGATCAAAGTGTGCAGCTTAGAAAAACACTGCTCAGCAGTGTGCGCATTTGTGCATTGTGTGTGAGCGTGCTTGCGAGATTCTGCGTGCGTTCATGTGTTGTTAGAGAGAGTACATTTGTGTGCACGTGTATGTGCCTCAGTATCAAGAAAACTCAGGTTTTGTGCTGTGTACACTGTATAAAAGCACAGGGAACAGTAACACTCAGTAATAAAGAGCAGTGTAGTGTTGTGAACAGTGAGAGCTCAGTGTATGACGGAGGCGTGCGGCTGCAGGGCTGCTGGACTGCAGAAGCGGAGATCAGGCCGGAGAGAGCTGGAATGCGTGGGGGGGCCAGAGGGACGGTGGAGACTTGGTGTGGGAGTCTGCCACACGTGTGCGGCCACAAAAACACAACGCCCAGTCAGCCAAACATTCCTCACACCGCTCTACACAACACAGCTTTTCATTACAGGACTGTACTACAGTGTGGGCTTAAGCATGACCTCAAGTTCAGGGGCTCTTTATGTGATCCATTATGGGTGCAGGTTTTCTCTCCAGCTGTACAGTCACACAGCTGACTCTTCTCCAGAGAGCTTGAATCCTGTGTGACTGCACTGCTGGAACTAACGCCTGCACCCCGATCAGCCCTTCCAGGGTGAGGGAGAGAATCCCTCCTCTAATTCATGGTCAAGCAAAAAGACCACACGCCTTCAGTCAGCACAGCGCCCTGCACACCGCTCAACAAAACCTGGTGTTCTGTTACACTAGTGTACTGCAGCATAGGCCTGAGTGTAGCCTCTAATTGATGGACAAACACAAAAAGTGAGGGATGAAGGGGGGAGAAGAGCGAGAGGCTCCAGCAGCCTCATACTGATTAATTCTCAAGCCACTTTGTGTCTCTCGCTTTCTTTCACTCTCTCTCCATCTGTCTCCTCGAGTGAGGAAGTCTTTCAGGACCATTCAGAGCCACTACAGCACCTGGCCTGAGTAATTCCACACACACACACACACACACACACACACACACACACACACACACATGCATACACACACACACACACACACACACACACACGTGCGTGCATAAATACATACACACACACAACACTTTCCTACTCATTAATATCACCATAATCACTCTACATGCTAAAACACAAAAACAGTACTTTACAGACTAGATACAAATGAATAGCACTGAAAAATATCAGTGTGAAAGTGCTGATTTATCAACAGATGTAAAGCAACTACTACACAAACACACTGGCACTTCAGCCAGGAGTCTACAAAACAACAGAGCAGATTTCTGTTCATGTCACTATATGTAAATACATGAGTTGAAGTTTACCTTGAACTGAAAACATGCCACCGTGTGTTTGTCTGTGCACGCTTGACAGGTAGAGAAGTGTGTGTGCGCGTGAGTGAGAACGTGCGTGCTTGTGCAACAGTGAGTGTGTGTGAGTGTACGTATGCACTAAGTTGTTAGAGCGGGTGTCTGTGTGTGTATGTGTCAAGCATGCACGTGTGTGCGTGTACGTGTGTGCGTGCGCATGCAAGTGAGTGCATGTGTTTGTAGAAGTGCCTGTGTTTATGACTCGTACAGACACAGTCCCACCCTGCCCTCAAGGTGTGAATATCAGAATCAATATCCCCAGCAGCATCAGCCTGATCTGTGTCTGATTCCACACTGAGAGATCAGTGGCACCAGGGCACATTCTGCACATGCTCAGTGCAGCTCAGTACAGCCACCACAGTCTAAAGCACATACAGGACATCAGGAGGAACATACACCCGAAAACTGAGCATCCTTACATCCACGATACATCACATCCCCGATAACACTATATACGGTTCCCCCCGGTTAGCACAGGACCGTCTCAGGCTGGCTAATATCCCAGTGCACCACCCCTATACTAAAACCAGCCACACTGCAGCAGTCACAACAAACCACATCCCCACCGCGTCTGAAGGGAAAACAGCCGGCAAATCCAAGGTCAGCGTAACAACCGCTAACATGGCAACAACAGCATCTCCCTCAGCCAGCCAGAGAGATTGACGAGGAGCGGACTCGCCTGTGATTGGCCGACGGTGCACGAGGCTCACCTGTGATTGGCCGATGGCAGCATGGTTGCCGTTGAAGGGGGATTTGCGCTCCTTGTCGCGATGGTGACGGCTGCTATGCTTACTGCGCTGCAGCTGCTGCCGTAACTTAGCGATCTGGGAGGGGGGGGGGGAGAGAAAGAAAGAGAGCAATTTGAATTTGAGAGGAGGGAGAGACAGTGAGAGGCTTTTTTTTATTTTTAGAAAAATACTTTATTTACATGATCACATATTTACACATCAGAAAAGCGTTACGAAAATAAGTGGCCCCCTTCTTTCTTAAAGACGTGCATTAAAGACGTGCAAAATGCAATTCATTATCAGTGACTGTGCATATTATACCCTTATAGCACCACTGTTGCTTAACGGTTTCCAAATCGCCCATCATTTCACAAAATTTAAACTCCAACCATACTCTGGCTCTGATGTAAGAAAAACACTGATGCAGCCTCCTGACCTGCCCTGCCTTCCATTCTGATCTTTCTGCTAATGTATAAACCAAGCTTGGCTTCTTCAGAGAGAAAATCATGAAATTGCCACTTCATGCAGTTCATCTTTTTATAACCTGAATTAAAAATGGCACAAGTTTTGAGAGAGGGGAAAGAGTGAGAGCGGGAGAGAGAAGAGAGAAGAGAGAGATTCAATTTTAAAAGTACCATTACTATATCATTTTTTTCAAAAAACAGAGACAGAGAGAGAGTGAGACAGGAAGACAGGATTAGAAAGGAGAGGAGGATTGCGAAACAGTGGAGCTAAGTCAGACCCCTTCGTACATGAGTAATTTTCCACTCCTTCATTATTTTCACCAAGGGAAGGATACCATTTCTTACAAATTTATCCATTCTCTGACCCTCGTATCCCTGGTCAGGGTTGCGATGGATTGGGACCAATTCCAGCACACAAAGGGGGAGGGATAGGAACTCACCTGGGACAGATCATCAATCCATTACCAAGATTAAACACCATTCACCCACACATGCAGAGCTACGGGCTTTGTAGAGTCACCAAATAGCCTAACACACAAGTGTTTAGACTGTGGGGGGAAACTGGAGTCCCCGGGGGAATCCAATGTGAAGACAGGGAGAATATGCAAACTCCACACAGCAAGTCCTCAGGCCGGATTCAAACCCACGACCATCCTGCTGTGAAGCAACACACTACCCACTGTGCCACTGTGCCGCCCACAAAAAAAACCCAGTTAAATACCAGTTGTGTGCAAACGTATGTCTTTTTCACCATTTCACATTGTGATTTATAATTACTTCCCACTCAAACACAGCCACCCACAATAACGACACACAAACACAAACAAGCACGCAGGCAGACACACACAAATAACACACACACACACACACGCGCGCGCGCGTATGTAGACAGAAACACACACACACAGTGATGCAGCACACATGGCAGCAAGCTGTAAATATTGATGGACTTAACTTTAAACACAAACAAACACATGATTGAGTAAGACTGAAAACGGTTGTGCAATGCGAATCTGTGGTTTCCTCACACAGTACTGCAGAGATTACTGGCAACACCTGAGGAACAGCAGCAGGAAATGAGGATGAAAAACAAGCTTGAGTTGTGCCCAATTTGGGCTTTTTAAACATAGTCATTATATAAATACTCACAGAGCGCAACGTAAAGGAAACAATAGCAGCGACAGTCACTCAAATGAAATCCATGCTCTGCTATTAATGAAATCTGAAGGAGAATAAACATTCTCCATTATTCTGGTTTATTAAGGCACAGCCATTACAGAAATAAAATACTTTAGGTCCCCTATATTAAAGTAGAAAGAGAGAGAGGAGGAGTCTCTAGGCTGTCCTCGTGTCTGTGTGGGTTTGCCAGGGCGACATCACCTTCCTTACCAAGTCTAAACACATGCATGTTATGCTAAAGGCAGACTCTACATGCACTTTGCAATGGACTGGTTGACTGTCCAGGAAGTGCTCACTCCTGCCTTATGTCCATTGGAAGTTGGGCACGACTCCAGCCCCCACCCCACCCCACCCCCCTGTGACCCTGATGGAGAATAAGGGGCTCACAAGGATGGATGGGGTCATTGACTGAAGTGCAGTATATGAGTAGCCAGGGTGTAAGAACTACAGTGTATTCAGCTCAAAAAGTGAAGTATGCGATGAGGGAGTGGAAAGAGGAGTAAGGACAGGAGTATGGGGTCAAGGCTAAGGGTCAAAGCTCAGGGGTCAGGAGTAGGGCGCGTGTAATGAGATGCGACACCAGGGCACTATCAGGACACTGGAGGCCAAGAATAATTTGATAATGTCTCCAGCTTCAGAGACATCCCATTACACAACATCACATCTATTTACAGGCATACTGTGCAGGATTCTCCTGCTCGTTTATCTGAATTTGCCATTAGAAAATTCTTCAGGCCTTCTGAGGGCCCAGCCCTTCCATATTTGTATATTCACATAGCCAGTGTAGGTATGCATGCAACAGGAGACCTTTGTCAACTGGCTACGACACAAACAAGGTTTGCAAGACAAAACCTTGCTTCAGCAAGAAAAAAAATCCTGCATAGTATGCCCATGACAGACTCTCGTGTGCAGATGTGTATAATATCTGCAAACCAAAGGTCACAGGAACAACAACAGAACATTGATCAGATAAGGTGCAATTCACAGGAAGCAGTATTTACCCATGGCCATGAACATCAATCATAATCAGAGTGTAAATTATAAGTCAGTTCGTCCAACTGAAAGTAAAAAATGATGAGATGCAGTACACGCAACAGTCCTAAGCATCAACGTTTCCTTTCTTTGATGAAATGCTAAAACTTCTGCACGATTACATTTTTTTTTTTTTTAAATGGGTGTTTAGAGGTGTCAAATTTGTTCAGCTGACAAACTAACGCACACATCCAGGACCAAAGGTAAACGGAAAATCCCACGTTGACTAGTTTCACACAGTAATGTATGATCATCAGATACAGCTCCAAGACGAAAGAAACCCAAACACAAGCGCTAGGAAACACAATTACAGTAAGAGAGAGACAGAACTGCAGTGAAATACAGTCGAGCCGGTTTGGGTCGGAGGGGCGGGGAGGCTGTGTGAGTGAGAGTGGTGCTGCCACCCCAGCCCTCCTCATCAGGACAATAGAGATGGAGGGAGAGGGGGGTAAGGGAGGTGTGAGGGGAGTGCTGGGGCTATGGCTGCAAGAGCATCACTGTGTGGGTGTGTGTGTGTGTGTGGGGAGGGGGGTCTGACCTCTTTGAGCTGGTCAGTGCTGCCCCAGGAGGCTGAGCGCTTGTGAGAACTCCTTCTCTTCTCCGAACACTCATCTGCCCAGGCACTGGGGGTCTGCAGGAGAGAGAGAGAGAGAGAGAGAGAGAGAGAGAGAGAGAGAGAGAGAGAGAGAGAGAGATTGGTTTTTAAACACCCTTTATTGTGACTGGGTTCAAAAACAATACAAAAAACTAGAGATTGTGTTTAAGGCAAAAAAACAAATGTCCCCCCCCACCCCACCGCAGCTGCCCCTCATTGATGTTCACAGACATTTAGGAAGAAACTCGAGAAGTTCATAACCTGAAAATAGCAAAAGGCACATTGCACGACCTGATGCAAATGTGTGCAAATTTTCATGGAAATATACCAAACGGTTTCTGAGTTATGGTCCGGAAACGGTGGGTACGCCGACATGGACATGTGCACACACACAGGGAACTGGACAAAAACAATAAATACACAAACACAAAATCAGCATAACCGCAAGCTTAACCAATCCTCAGATGTAGAGAGAGATGGAGAAAGGGTGGGAGGCAGAGGGAGTGAGGGAGAGAGAGAGAGAGAGAGAGAGAGAGAGGCAGAGGGAGTGAGGGAGAGAGAGAGAGATGGAAACAGACAGAGGGAGAAAAAGGAACACACTGGAATAGTGTGAACTGATGAGCAAATGTGCTCCTGAGACCAGCTTTCATAACTCCCTCCCCCGTCTCAAGTCTCACTGCAGACCCCCTTTCACAAGCCTGGGGGGGACTACAAGCAAACACTAATACAATAATCACAGGACTCCTCTCAGACCGAACTTCCCATACTCTGCTTAGCCAGAGTTAGCCAGTTTACTGCTCTGTGTTAAACACAGAGGCCGACCTAAATCTGAACATGGCCTGACAAAGAGCAAGTTCCTCCAGGTTTTACTCACTGCACTCATCCAGCCACCTCACCCAGCTAAGCTCTCTTTAAGCTGCTCTCAGAAACGAGCGTATTCGCATCTTTGCGTTGACTTTGAATGTAATCTGTCGTGCGAAAAAATTCGTTTCACGTCCGGTGTGAAAGCAGCTTTAGTCAGCTAGCATTGCAAGGACTCCATCAAGATGTCACCCAACAAGGATGGCAGCCATTTTGTTCTGGCAGAAATGGCTGATGGCAAATGTAGTCCTGAGTGGCCTCAGACTTACATGCTGAGAAACCGCAAAAACAGTTTAACAATTGGGGACTGCGGATGTAAATTAGCCTGAGGCTAACTCTGGTACAATGCATCAAATGGTAACATTTATGTTTAAAATTGTACATGGTCCCTAATAAATAAAATAAATGAAAAAAAAAAAAAAAAAAAATGCGGTTTTTCATGGTGGTGTGACCTAAATGTTAAATAAACAAGGTTCTCAAGCAGAAATCCCAGCAAGGTTTAGACACTGCAGTGCGAACGCGATGCATGGGAGAGAGTACAGGGGTGGTGAATGGTGATGCAATGCTCTGCAACCTCTCCCTCTCTCCATCTGTCCATGACACAGGGTGCGACAGACTGAAACTGATTCTGCTGCAAGTGGGGCAGCGGACCCTTCTCCCAAAAGAATTTAATATTTTTCCAGGGTTAAGAATGGATTTTGTAAATTTATAGAACCTAACAAAGTATTTAGCTTATATTTCTATACGTCTCTCTCTCTCGCAGTGTAGGAGGACATGCAGTCTCTTCTACTCTCACTCTCGAGCATCTATTAACCAATCAATCACTGCGTACTCCATCAATAGTAACCTGCCACCAACTCAAACAGAAACCTGACTATCCACTCAGTACATACTGCAATGCTGCACGTACAGCCCCCAGTATCAGTGGCGCCTGCAATATTTCTGAAAAATATTTTCACTCTAATTTTGTCATCTGACAGATCTGCATTATAGCAAAAATATATAAATAGGTTGACTAGTTTCCCTGCCCTGCCTCGTGGGAGGTAACAGCAGGAAACTGGACAGGCTGATATAGTTACAGAATGGATACAGAGGAAACTGAAGGAAGGAGACAGGACTGAATGCATCCCCACGGGACATGACAACATGAGAACTGAAACCAAGACGTGTACAGCCTAGAACTGACGCGTGCGCTAAAACAGCCACACACAAGCTAAAACTGACGCGTGCGCGATAACAGCCACACACAAGCTAAAACTGACGCGTGCGCTATAACAGCCGCACAAGCTAAAACTGACGCGTGCGCTATAACAGCCACACAAGCTAAAACTGACGCGTGCGCTATAACAGCCGCAAGTTAAACTGACGCCGCGGCGCTAAAACTGACGCGTGCGCTATAACAGCCGCACAAGCTAAAACTGACGCGTGCGCTATAACAGCCGCACAAGCTAAAACTGACGCGTGCGCTATAACAGCCACACAAGCTAAAACTGACGCGTGCGCTATAACAGCCACACAAGATAAAACTGACGCGTGCGCTATAACAGCCACGCACAACAAAACTGCCACAAACATTAAACCTGCCACACAGGCCAAAACAGATGCACACGCAGAAACTGCCACACAGGCCAAAACTGATGCAAGTGCACAAACAGCCACATACTACAAAATTGCCACACACGCTAAAACAGCCATACACGTTAATACAACCGTACACACTAAAACTAGCAAGCATAACTAATTTCTCTACCGCTTGTTCTTCATCTCTAGCTACATTTGAGGATTGGTTCAGTTCGCAAAAAAAAAAAAAAAACTACCACACTCTAAAAATGCCACATACTTTAAAACTGCCACACACAGAAAAACTGCCGCACACACTAAAACAACACGTGCTGAAACTGCCACACGAGATGAAACGTCTCCCGCTTAAAATTTTGCATGCTAACGCCAAAACACGACAAACTGCCGCACATGCAAAAACTGCCACACACAAAAACTGCCATACCACCCAAACTGCCACACAATCT